CTATCCATAATGCCTTTAATGAGTGTAAAATTTTGGTTTTTCTTTGGCCATTGGATTATTCGATCTAATTGCTACGATGTCTTCTTATTTCCTTTACTGAGAATCATTCTTATCGGAACACATCCTTATATATATAGAGCGAGATAAAATAAAGATTATGAAAAGAAATTATTCTTTTTCATTTAAAAAAAAGTTAAAATAAATAAATTGTTGAAAATACGGCTTAGAATATTTTTTTCTTGTAATAATTTAGATTTTTAGCAGATTATATATAAATATATATTGATATAATTTATTTTAACAAGTTACTACATCACGTAAGTAATTATTGGTTCCTAAATTTTTCTTATGTTATTTTGGTTAATACTAATATCTTTTTATATATACTAGGACTCGTACATGTGTGATGCAAGGGTCTTTTATATAAATAAATAGTTTTACATTATTTAATATCGACTTATTCATTTATCGTATTATCAACCATTAATGGATATTTATCATTTGGGTATTCTATCAATGACCAAGAGATCTAAAAATATAAGTTAAAACTTAGTCAATTATTATTTTTGGGTTGAAAGATAAAAATCTATTAATTAAGGATCCGAATGATTTAAATTGTCAGTTGAAATATTTAAAAGCTAAAATATGTTTTATATTATTTTATATTTATATTGAAATAGTTTTGTTTATAAGTTTTATAATTTTTATAAATGATATGACATACAAAAATTTGCTAATATTTTTCATGAAATTTTAAATTTTATTCATATTTTTACAATTATATTCTAAATATTAAATTGATACTTTAAAATACTTTGAGCCCTAAATCGATAAATTTAATATTTCAAACATATGATTGATAGTTTATTATCTTTCAAATCTCAAATGGATAAAACTAACTTTTAGGCTTGAAGTGAATGTTAATTCATTTTTCAAGACTCTAACTCATAAAACTCTATTACATTTTATTTTTTAAATTTTCTAATCTAAAATAAAGATTATATGATTTTTTTTTTCTCAGTTTACTTACTTTCATAGTGACTGAAAACACAATTCACTAATTTATCATTTCAAATTCATCTATATGATGTTTTAAATTGTTATAATTAACCACTTTTATATTATTAATAAACATAATTCTAATCTATTTCATATATTGGGCACTGCATAGTTACAAATATCTCTAATTAAAATATTTTTTTATTAGTTTAACAAAAAACAAGATTATGGAGAGAAATTATTAGGTTTATTCATGCCTTTTACTAATTTGGCATACAAAAGGAATGAACAATTAGTATTTTTTCTTAAAAATAAAATAAATATTATAGAAATAAATTAGTATTTTCCTTTAAAAAATAGACATTGTTGAAAATACATGTAAGAAATTTTCTTTTTAAAAATTCAGATTTTTTTACCGATTAATAAATACATATAAATCTATTTTTCAAAAATTTAATTAAACAAAGTAATTAATGCTTCCCAATTTTGTCAGATTGTTTACATAATAAATCTATATCTATACTTATATAAAAAGGGATCCTATTTACTACAAATAGTATCTAGAAAAGTCAACTGCAATTAATGATATTACTATTTCCAGCATGTATTTTATTTAATTATTTTATATTGAAATTAATGTTATGCGATTCAACTAATGCTATTACTATTCCCATACAATCGATTTTCCAACAAAAAAATCCCACAAAATCGGCTTTAATTTTTTGTATATTTAAAATTTCCTTCTTATCTTCTATTTATTTTGTCTCATACAATCTGTTTAGTCAACAAAATCTCATAAAATCGTTTTAAACTTTTTGTAGATTGAAATTGAAATTTCCTTCTTATCTTTTTACCAAAAATTTTATTATTTATGTATTGAAACTCTGTAATCCGATTTCAGATTGTATCATTAAGAATATATTATAGTTATATTATCAAATCATAAAAAGATACTAAATCCATATTGTAAAAAAAAAATCATATAATTTTATAACAATTCTACTACACTATATAACAGTATTCCTTTTTATGATATAATAAAATAATAATTAAATATTACATAGTGAACAACAATAAGTAAAATTGTTACTTTCTCTTATATCAAGAGATAAATTTATACGCTAAAATTAAATTTTTATTACTATTAATGTTTTAGTGAGATAATATATTAAGGGTTAGTTTGGTTGGTATTATTGGGCTTGATATCAAGCATTTTGTTATTATTTCCATAAGATTAACATGTTTGGTTGGTTAATTGAAAGCCCTTTATTTTGCTTGGGCCCGGTTTCATTACAAACAAATAGCTGGACTACACATCCCATATCTCATGTGTGATACTCTATCCCAATGTTAAGTTGTTTTTTTTTTTTTTACAGAAATGCCCTTAGATAAATACTAAAATCTGGTCTCACTCCTTCACTTTTCCTCTCTCGCAGCTTCACTAGGGTTTCCACGGTTCTTAGATCACAATCGAAAATCTCTAGCATTTTTCTTCCTCGAAGCCACAATAGAGTTCATTGTTTTCTTGAATCTAAGTTTTTGCATTGTAATTTATTCTCTGTCGTCCTTTTTTGCTAGTGTTTTCGGTTGTTGCGGACTGCACGCTCGTCGCATAATTGGCACTCGTGGGGAATCTTTACACCGTGTAAAGGGTGCATTTGAATCTTGCTTAAGGTAACATTCCGACATTATGCAGCCACATTATTTTTCATTTATTAATGAGAGATGGTTGAAATGAGGTAGAGTCTCTTTTTTTTTTATATAATTTTTGTCTGGAAATAATTGTTTATCTGCTGTAAGATATGTTTTGGCTTTGTTGGCTCTTTTGGGAATTAAACTGAGCCATGGTTCAGTTTATTGTTTTGATTTTATTGTTGCCTATGTTGTGAATGTTTTCATAGATCCAAATTTTGTACGATCTGAAGCATGATTAAAATATATCCAAATCTTGTCTTGTTTAAAGAAGCATGGTTCATTTTTTCTGTTTGTGTTTGGGTGTATTGATGATATTTGTCTCCCTCATTGCAATAGCAAATTTGTTATTTATTGTTCTACAACTATAAAATAGGTGCACTGTTGGTGTTTCTTTCATTGTTTGTAATAGCATATTTTCATTTCTGATTGTTCTAGAACAATGGCATACGCGTATTGAGGATGTTTGTTTCATACATTGCAATAGCAATTTTGATACTTGATTGTTCGAAAGCAATGAAATAGTGTATTGCTGGTATTTGTTTCATTGTTTGTACTCGCATATTTGGATTCAAAAATTGTTATACATCAATGGCAAAGGTGCATTGTTGTTTTCTTTTTATTGCTAGCAATAGCAAATTTGATATCCGTTTGTTAGATAACAATAATAAATGTGTATTGTTGTTGTTTGTTTTATTGTTTCCAATAGCATATTTGATTTCAGTTTGTTAGAGAACAATAAAAGTTGTATTGTTGGTGTTTGTTTCATTGTTTCCAATACTATATTTTGATTTTTGATTGTTATAGAACAATGACTAAGGTGCATTGTTGGTGTTTGTTTTATTCTTTTGAATATCATAGTTGATTTCTGATTGTGATATAACAATGACAAAGGTGCGCTGGTGATATTTATTTCAATTATTGCAATAGCATAATAGATTTCAAATTGTTAGATAAAAGGTTTACTGGCAATTTTTGGATTTGTGCTTGGTTTTGCTTCCTACTTGTAGATTCCATATTATTCCAGAATTCTATTTTCCCAATTGGTCCATGTGATGGAAGAAATGAGCTAATATTTGAAACTAAATTGAAAGCTTGCATTTTCTACCTACTCTTGTCCTCGGACAAGAGAGGAACACTTTGCTTTATATTATATATTTTTGTCTGATGTATGTTGTGAACTCTATAGACAAGAATGATGTATGATACATAATTTCTGTTGTACAGATTTTACATCCGCTATTTCATAAAGCTCATCAAAGGTATAACATACAATGGCCGAGATTAACAGGAGAAAGGCTGAACTTTATCTTGTATTGGAGGAAATTATGAGTGAATGTACATTTTTCATTAGTATGGTGGTGTTAGTGTTATATACTGAAAGCTTGGTTTTGCATGTTATTACACATTTACTCTTTATGAATGAGAATCATGTTAGATTAAACAAGTTCTACGTTCTGTTGTTCTGCACTTAGATAGGGTGGGTCGTCATCGGGCGAACCGAAGATCACTCTATCAGTCACTTGCGAACAAGAATAGTTGTTCACAACCTAGATGGACATGAACACCCCATCCGAACGGTTGTAGTGTCAACTGTACAGTTTGTCTTGACTGATTAGTTGCACTAGTACATTTATGTATTGAACAGGATCCCAGAGAGGAGAAGTTCATTTTATACTGATCGTCGTAAATGAACTAGGCCTCGGTTAATTACTGCGTTCTCTTAACCCGTAAGATATTAAACAGGCAGATATATATAATATATATTACTTTGATTCACATGGGTGAGGTTCAGTTCGCTGGATTAATATTCCTACTGTTTTGGGTAATATTATTATATATAGGATGTGCTGTTAGGATATTTACGGTCACCATGTGCGTTAGTTTGATGATGTCCCCGGAGTGAGTTCATGAAGGATTGTTATGCTAAACCCTGCAGGTGGATTAAA